TAGCCTGGAATCTTTTTGAAGAATTATTATCTAAATATTTAGATAAGAATAAGTTGTGTTTATGTTGATGGTCAGTCAGTCTTTCGCAATGTTACGACGCCCAGTTGCACCCGTTGAATCTTTTCTTCATCCGTTCGTCTTAAAATGACTTTTCTGTAAAATAATACAATGGAAGTTCGAGTCTAGTGCATAATCAAAATCAAGATATATTGAAAATGGTAGCAGGCCCATCTTGTAGGGTTTCAGTTGACCTTGGAAGTCGAAGATGTAGCAGGCCCGTAGTCAGCTTTTAATGCCAATCAAAAAATTCCAAGGAGAAGGCGCTCACATCTGACAACTTTGGCTCAAAGGTGTTCAGAATAGTCAAAATTGCGTGATTTTGAAAGAGATCCGATCCCCCTCCCCGGCTACGGGCCTGGGTAGTACGTTAATGGTTAGAAACATCAATACAATTTGGTCATGTACATCTGGTGTCTTACAGCCCCGGATCACAGTCCCCCGGGAATTACAGTCCTCTGGGAATTCTAGTCCACCTGTATATATTTAAGACATTATAATTCGATCACTATAATAAAAGCAATTGGGACTTTAGGGAGGGGAACCATATGGGACCCACATTACATTATCATTAATGAATTGGCATTGCGTTAAATCTATGGACCCCTTCCAATACAACTAATTCACAATCTTGAGTAAAGGAACCAACCGGATGGTAAGAGTATTTAATTTGATAAAGTTACGTTAGTCCCGCTTTAGTAGCCTCAGGGATAGCCTTACCTTAAAGGCAGAATCAGATCTATAGGGGGTGACAAAATTACAAGCAATGTGCATAATTGACCTACCAATCAATTGCTTACAATATCTAATACAATATCTCCCAAAAAATTCACAATATGTTATAAATTGGTAAAGTTATTAATGATTCAAAGTGCAAAAATGATTTCAATTCTCCCAAATAATAAGAATGGTAACCATTCTTATAGAAAAATAATACATTATTGTAAAAATCTTTTGTTTTCCTTGAATAAAGTATGCACTTTTGTGATTTTTAGAAAATAGACATGACAAGGAATGACATGAGCCAAAAATATTCTAAAATTGAAACAATTTTTTGTTTATCCTACTCGCTATCTCTGATTCTCTCTTTAACTAAAAGAAGAGTTGAACTACTGAACATTATCATGGGTGAACGGTATGTTCGCCTAGAAAGTACAGACACGAAATGACAAGAAAATGCCTGTTATTTGTTCTTTGAGTCATCAATCCGCTCATTATCTACTAGTCAGCGAAAATAAAGTCTGATTATGTTCAATGTTATGTCTTCAGTGGGTCTATATCCTGATACCAATAATATAATAATATGTTTCAGTTACGAGGATTAATATGTAACAGTTGGATACCCGAATCCAATCACTGACTCACTTACAGATATCAACTGGATCGAGTTAAGGACAGTTTAACGCACAGTCTATAATTGCTTTGAGGTAGTTCCGCATGTTTGGTTTCCCCAAAAAATAAACAAATGCCATTTGCATATTTAATCAAACATATTGAGCATCATATTCTACCAACATCTGAAAATATCCACATAAAATGTGAAAATATGACTTATTCATTAATCATTGGTAACTGAAATTATAAATCACCTTATACACACACGACCTCTATATTATGATTCAAGATTTTATTGTGTTTCAAGCCAAATAATTGGCTTCCTCACAAAAATCATCAAGACACGCCTTACCATCGCGTAAGCAGGCGTCACCGTACAGCGTCAAAAAATAGCGGAGTACAGTTTTCTGTACGGTAACGCAAATTAACTGCTTTGAAGCAAAAACTATGACAAGGGTTTAAAAAAATTAATTTGATGAAAACTGGTACGATTTCATGTGAAATAAAAACAGCATTCTCTTAGAAATGGTTTTAACTTTCTGATTATGATAAACGTTTTACGAGCACTGTTCGGATATTTTCTGAGTGAATCGGGCCACACAATCGACCAGAGTGAAAAAAGGTTGTTTTTCACATTTTGTTTGGTTATTATTTTCCCTACCGTCTAAGAGTATGGATTATTTTTATGAGAATATGTATTTGTTACTTACACATTTTAGAACGAACAAAGATTCAGCAAACAACCATTCATTATGTTTATTTAAAAAAGATCAAATTTGTACGGTGACGCACCAGCTGTACGGTGACGCTATGCTTTGATGAACTAAATGAGACTAAGATTGTATGAAATGGAAACTCTGGAGTATGATCATTTGTTCATATATAGTGCATGGGCGCTACAGTTCAACGATATCTTCCACAGCTTAATGGAAGGTTACTGGAAATGTATGATACGGTAAAGATCATGAAACCAAAAACTCTCATGTTGCTATGTTATTGATGTTTTAAAACAAGGGATGTCACAAGTAAATCTCATCTTGCACGTGTGACTTTTTAGGATGAAAGATGCAATATCTTGCATGGGGTAAAGATGGCTGTGTAGGCTATCTTTGTTAGTCATATGAGAAAAGCCTGATTTAGTTCAAATGATACCAAAGCATTACGTCAACTTTCAAATAGTTAATTCCATGAAAACTAAAAATATCGAAATTAATACTTCCTGTCCGCCATCTTAATTGCGAAGGTGACGGCTGTAACCTTCGCTTGATACTTACCAGTGATAATGTACATGTAGATCTGACGCTTCTTTACCTCTTGTTCGAACAGTAATCTTAGAGCACTTCATAGAATCTAAGGAAGCGTCACCGTACAGCTGATGCGTCACCGTACAGTTCTGATCTTTTTTAAATAAATACACTGAATGATTATTTGCCGAATATTCATCTGTTCTAAAATGTGTAGATAACAAATACATATTCTCATAAAAATAATCCATACTCTCAGACGACAGGGAAAATAATAAACAAACGAAAAGTGAAAAAACACCATTTTTCTCTCGAGTCGATTATGTGGGCCGATCCAGTCAGAAAAAATCCGAGCAGTGCTCGAAAAACTTTTATCATAATTAGAAAGTTAAAACCATTCCTAAGAGAATGCTGTTTTCATTACACCCGAAATCGTATTTATTTTCATCTAATTAATCTTTTTAAAACCCTCATTATAGTTTTTACTTCAACTCAGTTAATTTTCGTCACCGTACAGAAAACTGTACTACTGTATTTTTTGACGCTGTACGGTGACGCCTGCTTACGCGATGGTTAGGCGTGCAAGACATAAATATACATTTATAAAGTAAAATGCATTGTATAACATGTATGTCATAAACATTATCATACACCATACTTTTGCAAAGTAGTTCTAACGCCCCCCCCATCCATTAATTTTCACATCTTGCATCTGTTAAAGGATTTTTTTCGTTTTTCCTAAGCAATCCAGTCTTGGGCTTAGCCCTCTGTTTGTTCAAAATATAATACGGCGATTCTTCCCGTGATTCGTGTAATGCCAAGTACATGGAAGATAGTACACCATACTGTTTCATTCTGTTATACCAGTGTATTCCGTCAGTCATATGAAATACCTTCATGGATCAAGATGCGTGGAACGTCAAACATGAGTTTAGCGATGCCGGGTAACAAGTGTAAAAGAATCGAGCTTAGTTACCCTGGGACTATGTGCTAGAAATATTCCATACTACGCTCTGAGTATAACAGAGATGTTCATACTTAATGATTTTAAAAGTAGCAATCGATGGAAGTTTAAATATGAACTGAACTAATATGAACATTGCAGTATTAACTCGAATTCTGATTGATTGAGAGGGGAGGGGTTAAGAGCATTTTTGTGTGTTTTTGTACCTCCGTTATTTTTCTAGCTTGAGCCACAGAATACACTATTTGGCGTAAAAATCAAGGTAATCAGGAGCAGAGGGGTAGATGAACAAATTATGATAGTCGGAAGTTGAATTGATGTCGATTAACTGGAATTCATTAAATATTGTTAGCTGCCCTGTTTGTAATAACTGTAGAAAATGCAAAGTGATAATTATTGCTCTATTTGATGAATAATTATTTTTTTGCATATTGAATTCCCTTTATAATATGCTTGATTTCATGAAACTCGAATGAAACTGCAATGTTCATATTAGTTCAGTTCATATTTTAACTCCCATCGATTGCTACTTTTAAAATCATTAACTGTCATTGACTGTCTAATGAATCTTTAAAAGTAAAAATATACAATTTATTGCCAAGTATTCAGGATTTTTTCAGAAACTTATGAATCGTCTTTTTATGATGTTTTGCATGTTCCAGAATGTTTGTGCAAACTGCGGTAACAGAATTATGATGATTCTCCAATCCAAATTTTGGGGATATTTTTTTATTCTCCCCTCCCCAAATTTTTCTTTCTTTGGAAGTTCATACGTTAAGTTATAGAAAAGCAATTTCACCTTGACTTTTATTTCATTTGAAAAATATTCGATTATCCTTTTAGGAAATATAGCATGACCATATGACCCACCCATCTTGCGACTTCGTGTTGTCAAAAAGGTTGCAGACATATTAACTGTTTCAGAGTATACACAAATGCATAAAGCTTATTGCGAGATACTATATCATTATTAAGTTGCTTTTGATTTTTTCTCAGAATACTGGGCGCTGCCCAGTATATGGCACGAGCGTATTGTCTTTCGCCAAATTACTGTATGAAGTTGAAAGCCCATGAAAACACCGAAAAAACTAGGATGATTTTTTCCCTGTGCAGTTGTCATGTCATTTGCATTTTGTTAATTATGTTACATAATTGAGATTCTACAAGAAAAAACAAAACATCCAAACAGCGATTGTCTCAAATGACTTAAATACAACGCTCACGTTCGTCTTTCATTCACGACGGGGTTTGGACGACCAAGATCAGGTGCACGTCTTACCCGTACGATATTCTACCGATCCCAAACGTGGCTTTGTACTATCGTAACGAGATGAACATGAAAATGTGTAGATGCATTCGATCTGTTTCAGCTCTAAAATATCACTCCTTGTTTTTTCCAGAGAGAGTGTATTTCAATTCACGTTGGCCAGGCGGGTTGTCAGATTGGTAACCAATGCTGGGAACTATACTGTCTAGAACACAATATCTCCCCAGATGGTCATTTCCTGGAGAAAAACTGCACGAACGGGGTAGCCCCGACCAACGATGGGTTGAGGGAGTTAGGCGGGGCTGGAGATGACGACGCTTTTAACACGTTCTTTCAGGCCACACGATCGGGAAAGCACGTGCCGAGAGCCATATACGTAGATCTAGAGCCAAGCGTCATAGGTATGCCTATTCTCAGTTTTTCATTAATTTTAATTGACAGTTGCAGACAGAGGATATGTTAATCCTGGCAATAATTAAGCAACCGTTTTATGAAGATGTATCAAATGTACTCTTCAACACAAAATATATCCATTGTTATCCCACCGAACGAAGTTCGTCTGTCCGTCCGTCCGTTCGTTCGTCTGCCCGGGTGATAACTCAAATACCGTTTGACTGATTTGATTCAAATTGTATAGGCTTATGCCTAATGGGCGTAGGACCTCTGCTCGAGAAGAAATTTTTAATATGGCTACTCATTTAAAAATGTCCGCCATTTTCAAATTTTGTATGGCGATGCCTAGGAGCAAAGAAGCTCTATTCAAGAAGAAATTTTTGAGGTGGCTGCAATATATAAAAACATTTTTCGTTCGGTGGGATTTGCTACTCCGTGGAGTTTCTAGTTAAAACCAGTGTTACGGTATGTGTAGAAACAAATCGAACCACTTTATCAAATTATAAACAGTCTCTTTACAAAAGAATTTGAATTCAAATGAACCCAAAAAACTGATTTTGTATCTTAATTTATCATTTCGTAAACTGTTCATAAATATTTATTCCCAGATGAAGTTCGGACAGGTAAATACAAGGACCTTTTCCACCCGGACCAGCTGGTCAATGGAAAAGAAGACGCTGCCAATAACTATGCACGTGGCCACTATACTGTAGGCAAAGAGCTCATCGATCTAGTAATGGACCGCATCAGAAAAATGGTAAGAATTGACATCTCCATTACACACTCGATCCCTTATTTCTTGTGAACCACATGATAATGCCCTGTTTATGTTAAGGGGAGTGGGGTTATATTAGTCAGTCACCCTCACCCTACAGAGTTCAGCGTTCAGTAAAGTTGCAACAAAACATGTAATCAGGGGGCAAAATTGTCCCAGTTTCTTTGCTGACTTCATTAATTGAAACCGTTGTGCCTAATGATAACGATTCCAAGCTAATCTAGACAGGATTTTGATGATGTTTTTATGGCCATTTTTATGTTTCAAACACTCCCATACATAATTATTTCTTTTTAATCTGTTACTTTATGACACGATTTTTCTGATATGCAACACACTCCTTTGTTGTCACATACGTTAAATTAAATCATAATGCCTTTGCGCAATGAATGTATATTTTGCATCCTGTCGCGACAGGGGTAAGGTTAGTTATCATATGTACTGTATTAATCATGCAGTTGAGTTTTTTCTTCAATTTTCAGTCGGATCTGTGCACTGGTCTACAGGGCTTCCTCGTCTTTCACAGTTTCGGTGGTGGAACTGGCAGTGGTTTCGCTTCTTTGTTAATGGAAAGACTCTCTGTCGACTATGGCAAGAAATCAAAGTTAGAATTTGCCGTGTATCCTGCACCCCAGGTATTACACTTTCCTATGGTCTTAGTATCATAAAATAAAGTCTGGAACATCTTGTTATGTCCTAGAAACTAGACATAACTTTATTACCTATTAACATTCGCCTATCTTATATCTTATAAAAACACGGGTCGCCAAAGCAATGGAGCCATGGTCATTTGAATTCTCACATTCCAATTTACAGGTTTCTACTGCTGTTGTGGAGCCGTATAACTCTGTACTTACCACACATACAACACTGGAGCACTCGGACTGTGCATTCATGGTCGACAACGAGGCCATATATGATATATGCAGGTAGTGACATCTATATCTGTTTTATCTGAATATCTTGAGTGGGATCCGAAAGTGTATAGATCCCTTTATGCAAGCGTTCTCTTTTATATTTTCATTTTCACAGTTTTTATGTCACCACCAAAAGTTGTGACATATTTTACGCTCTCCAACTTTTTTGTGACAGCGGTTGACGTCCGGCGTCTGTAACAAATGAAGGTGGTCACATTTTGCATGGTAATGCTTTGTTTAAAACTATTATAATTGAACAATAAGCAGGGATTAATATTATTTTTAACATAGCTAATCCCCCAGTCACTTACTAGGTCTTAAAACGTACTTTATCGTCAAATTAGTGCTTTTGGGGTGAAATGTACTAAATGTGATATTACTTCGTTCATAAAAAGTCTTCCATATACGAGCTATAAAAACATATACTTAGGATCGTTCCAAATATAAACATGATAATGAATTAAATCAAAGCTTCCCGTGTTGTCTTACCCCCCTATTACACCAAACTAGTTCTTACCCGTTCTTGCCAGTCCTACGAAAACGTTGTAAAACGGGCTCAATCTGGCTGTGGTCGGGAAATATGTCTGAAATAATTAGCTTCTTCGTTCTTAAACAGTCTTCAATACGTCCATCTCGTTCGCAGTTCGTTCAGGTCGCACCACGTTCGGCGTGCAACGTCGTAGAACGCGTCCCTTAGTCTAGAAGGTCAACATGACCTGATTACAGAACGGTATGGTCGCCATCGAATTTTGAATCGATTCAAAATTCTAAAATCACATTTCCGTCTGAAAACGTTCATAAAGTTCGTAAATATACCTTAGAAAGTTGCATCTACGTTCATTCCGTTCGCACACAGTTTAAAACCAGTTTTGAAGAACGCAGTGGCAACTTGTTTGGTGTGATAGCTATATTTTTGTTAACTCGTTCATAAGCAGTGTTAAATACGTTCTTAATCAGTTTAAACCCGTTTGCAATTAGTTCTACCTCGTTCTCAACACGTCCTCAGACAGTTTAACTCGTTGTTAAAACGTCCCTAATAGGATTGAAGTACGATGGTTCCGTTCGTAGTACGTCCAGTTCGTCGTTAGTACGTTGTCACTCGTTCTAATTGTAGAACGTGACGACCACGAGAACATTTTGAGCATTGTCTAAGTTCTAAAGGACCTACTCGTTCGAGTCTTTCGATGAAGTTTGTAAATAGATCCCAAACGGTTCTTAGTAGGCCCAGTCCGTTCGTACACAGTTGAAGCCCGTTTTCGAGAACGTAGTGAGAACTACAGTAGTTTGGTGTGATAGTAGGGTTACTTAGCACAGTGTTTGTGAAAATATCACTTGAAAACACAAGTTCTGAAAATGGCGAACTGGCTGAACTACTATCTGTGAATCAATGTTACACGGTGCAGATAAGAACATATCTATTGTGTCACCACCAAAAGTGGTGACATATTGTTATGGACTCCAACCTTTTTAAATTTATGATGGCGGTTAGCGTCTGACTTCCGGTGGTTGGCGCCCGGCGGTCGGTATCTGTAAGTTTTAATATTTCATCAAGGCTAACATGTATTTTTATTATCTCCAAAGAACCGGATGAACAGTAATTCAGCTGATTTTCCTCTTGAAATGTTGTGGATCTTAAAAATCTATAATTGGGACTCCCTTTATTGAAGCTTTGAACTGAAATTTCTCTTCCCGATGTTGAAATTGATAGTTTTAATATCCATACATTTTAAGAAAATAGGTATGTCAAAGAAGATGTTAAGCCAAATGTTGCCCTGATCGCTCAGTAATAGCATGGCCTTTCAACAGCCCATGGTAAAAGTTAAAAATTTCGAATTTTCTCTCTACAGGCCTTGTTGCCCAAGTACGTGTTTGTTTTTAGCCAGACAATCTAAATCTGCCGTAGACAATCAATTAAGGACAATCTAGAAATCTAAGTTATTTATAAGACGAAACGCGTGTAAAAACATTTTGTGATTTTATTCTGCCAAAAGCATGGGTTGCCACGTGTATAACTGGATGAAACTGGGATGAAACACGTTGCATTAAATCTAAAAGGGACATTTGCACAATGTATATGAGAGGCTTTAGTAATTAGCTCAATAAAACAACTATTCCCCAACATTTATTTTCACATGATTGCTTAGAGATAATATGAATAAGGTTCGACCAAAAATAGGGAGAATCTTAGATCTATTTTTGTTATAGCACGCACTGATTCACGGGTGTTAAGCCACGATGATACCATGAGCACATGCTTTGAGGATCCGCGTTGTTTGAACCTACCGCCGAGCTCACTTATACATCAAGACCCGTTACACAGTCATGATACAGCCGAGCAAGCTCATTGTATCATCGGGTCTGCTTTACCCCCTTGTGATTCACATGTGGTCACATTGTGCCAACGGTTGCATTGTTTACAATACAGAATAAGCATTTCCAGGGAGCATTTTAATTTCCTAAAGCCCCCCCCCTCTTCATTGAAAGCTTTTAGAGACTAATTTATGATAAATAAGGTTGTTTTCCCGTTCACGTTTACCTACACGCAGTCCTCCGGGCAATCACACTCGTTACTGATCTTATCAAAAAGGTATTACAGGTCGACTGGGTAAATTGTACACCTCATCTAAACCTTGCTGGGAACTTATATTTTCAATTATTTCTGTAAAAACATTTTAGTTGGGGTGATAATTGATACACTTAGCCATATAGCTTGGCAATAAAACAATAATTATTTTGTTGACCGTACGTGTACCAGTGCATTGTTCTGACATCATCGCATAGTTTAAAGAGCATGGCGGTATTTTGCACGTGTTCCTTCCACTTCACTGATTGGTTGAGAAAGGGCAAGCGTGGTTGATTTGTAATGATTTATTAGCCAGGCTGTCACAGGCGCCAATCTTTGGGGCGGGGCTGCTAAACTGTAATGTAGTCAATACTAGGCAGAGGGTAGTTTATAACTAGACTCCGCGGGCAGGGTACGCTGGGTAGTGCATTTGTGATCCCTCTATCTGAGATTATAGTCCGGCTGTTATATACTTATTGCCCTTACTTTCTCTGATTGCATATACACTATCACTTTATCAATTAAATGAGAGAAGAGGACGCTGATTCACTAAGATGATATTGTCCCCCGGTGAATACTGTCCTCGTTTGTACTGATACCTCAATTGTGCATGATAATAAGCGGAATTAAGATTCGGGTCGAGGACAATAGATCAGTGGTCAGATGTAGATTGTACTATGTATGCGCAAGCGCCAACAACTAAGTACAAAAATGGTTCGGTTGCGGAGCATAGCAAGAAAAAGAAAACATCTAAGAGTGCATGCGCATCAGTCATAAGTTAAAACAACTATCCCAAAAACTGTCTTCAATTCATTGTACCTCTGAAAAGAATCTGATCGATCATCTCATTGTTTTTCAAAAGGGTTTTTATAACTATTATTATTATTTTGCAGGTCGAATCTAGACGTAGAACGTCCCAGTTACAGGAACCTGAACCGTCTAATCGCGCAGATCATTTCATCCATCACGGCTTCGTTGAGGTTCGACGGCTCTCTGAATGTAGACCTAACTGAGTTTCAGACTAACCTGGTGCCGTATCCACGGATTCATTTCCCTCTGGTCACTTACGCTCCCATAATATCCGGTTAGTGAAGACTTGCTAATACGAGTCAATTGTGATTTATATTTCTTAATTTAGTTCATATGTCTTTGGTTCACTAAGATTACAAATGAGAAAATCTCATTCCATAACGAATTTGAAAGGCTCATGAGGTCTATTTGTCTGTCCGTTTGTTTGTTTGTTTGGTTGAGTTCTTGTTTGACACAGCAAATGTTCATGGTTATAAGAACAGGGCAGTTCCCTTTAAATATATACATGTTTGAAATAAGTGTGTGTAGCTAACATTTACCAATTTGGGTTGAAGGAATAGTGATGTACCAACCATAATTATCAATATGATTCTGGTGTTAACAAAAGCAATGGTCTTACCATTCCAGCTGAGAAAGCATTCCACGAACAGTTAACAGTCCCTGAAATCAGCAACGCCTGCTTTGAGCCTTGTAACCAAATGGTGAAGTGTGACCCGAGGAATGGCAAATACATGGCCTGTTGTATGCTGTTCAGGGGAGACGTTGTCCCCAAAGATGTCAATGCAGCTATCGCCAGTATTAAGGCCAAGAAGAGTATACAGTTTGTTGACTGGTGCCCAACTGGTTTCAAAGTGGGCATCAATTATGAGCCGCCTACGGTTGTACCAGGTACACTCCCCTCCATAGGTTTAGCACTTGGAAGCCCCCTTTTGGTTCAAAGCTTGTTCATATTAAGAGATTTAAAAGAATAATTTGTCATTCATTTCCAAACTATTGTAACCAAGGAACAAAATTAAGATTTACACATTGACATGCTTTGGTATGCTATCCAAGAAAACACCCCGTTGCCAAACTTATGGAGGGGAGTGTATGTACAGTATACCATGATTTTTCTATCTGTTATATATACAGGGTGGGCCAAAAAACGTTATATAGCATTTTGGCGTTTTTCTGGCCCACCCTGTATATACACCGTCTATACTTAATGTCAGTGAAGCATAAATAGAAACAATTTTGAAATTTAAATTTTCAAAGTAAATATCATGATATGGTAACATCGATCTCCAGGTATCGAAAATTGAACCATTGAATATACAATTTTAATGTAAGGTATTTAACAAGGACTAGACGAACATGGTTCGAATCCCGATTCGGGCATGTATTTTGCTTTTCCAGATGGCGACCTTGCCAAAGTGAATCGCGCTGTTTGCATGATCAGTAACACAACTGCAATAGCGGATGCTTGGTCAAGATTGAATAGAAAGTTTGATCTGATGTATGCCAAGCGAGCCTTTGTCCATTGGTATGTCGGTGAAGGTAAGTTAAAAATATGATAAGAAGCAACACGAAAATTAAATATTGCTGCTTTGATTTACATTTGCCGTCGTATTGTTAGAGCCAACATAAAGTTTCAAAAAGCAACCCCGATGTCCTGTTTAAGAAACACATATTCTTATAATTGAAAACGGATTTTAGCAAATCCCTCATGAATGTACCTGTTGAAACTCGATCAATTTGAGTTCTTCTAAGAAAATGAGGATTTCAGCAAGGACGTATTGATTTAGGGACATGGGGATACAATTGACTTAAAAGCTGCATATCATCATGTACTATATGTATGTCATCATGGATATATTATATTATTATTATGAGCTTTATTATACTTGTATCCCACATTTGGGCAAAGTGTACAGCTTAAACAGAAAAAAATGAAAAAGCTTAACTAATTATCTATATATTATACTAACTAATCAAAGGGTGCTTGATCATTGCAAGATTTTATTGGATGCATTTCGTGTTTTTTTTCTCTCTCGATAAAAATATTAGATATATATTTTGCTAGTATATTTAATATTATTCCCTCTGAATTAAATAGAAACATTAATTTATGTTCCACTTTATTCATGTTTTCTAAATTTTGACAGTGTTTTTTTATTTTATCCATTTATATATACAAAATTTTATCCAGTTATATATACAAAATCTTAATTATCTTAGAAAAACTCAAGCTCATCAAGTCTCAACAAGTTCATGTGGGAGAGTATTGGTAGAATCCATTTTCAGCCTTTTTGGAAAGTTTGGTTAAGTCTTTATGGACTATCACCTGTTTTGATTAACATTGCAGGAATGGAAGAAGGAGAGTTTAGCGAAGCACGAGAGGACCTAGCCGCTTTAGAAAAGGACTATGAAGAAGTTGGAATGGACACTATTTGTGAAAATGGCGACGACGATGAATACGAGGAGTATTGAGTAAAAATGTGAGAATATTTTGAGGCTGGTTATGGACGTCATCGATGTACAGTATTTATTGTAACATAATTATGAAGCAACCATTGATTAAAAGGTTGTGTGAATTGTCCAATTAATAATATAATTGACAATCGGGCGGGGCTACTTTTCTATACGCCATCAATCATGATAAATTGGATTAATGTATGGAGAGAGTGTCACTCTGACTTGTTACTATCACGTTGTCTTGGTTATGATGATAGACCTCAATGATATTAGGCTATCATCTAACAAATAATACAAATGGCGAATCAGATCAGTGAACGAATTGAAATACTTGTTATTTATAAACTTGTTTTCCACATGCAAATACATGTGCTCCATCAATCTTGAAAATACTAGTTACTTACAAACTTCTTATCCGCATGCAAATACACGTGCTCCATTGGCGTGCAAAACCGGATGCGCAATTTCTCATGCCTAGATCTGAGAAAGCACACATTGATAAATTGGGAGTATTTTTAATAGCAGCTACTGGTGATAATCATGCACGATATAAGTATTGACAATAACATAATAATTATTCTGTGAATTCATTAATAATTTATAGACCCACCACGTTCTCAAGCATGTGCTCCGGTGCTACTATACCTTGTTCAAGTTATTACATCTAACTACAAGAGTTTCATCTAGAGCATATACTACTCGAAGAAGCTCTCTTTAATTATGACTATTAGAAAGGGTATGATTAAGAAGATAGGTGCATGTAGTGCATACAGTACAATCATGTGAATTATGTTCATCATTACAATGCATATAATTTGCAGTGGATAATAAGCATGGGTTATCGGTTATCATATCATGTCAGTTAAAATACAATATCCATTTCCTGTATATGTCGGTTTTTTTATGATGGTGATTTTTGAGTTTGAAATCTATTGAAAATCGTTTTAAATTCGAATAGATGGCGGAATAGTGCTCATATCTTCTTGTTATTTCAATGGCCTTTCTACGCAGAAACACTTTCGGTTTTAAAGAAGGGGTCATATGAAGCAGCTGTACAAAAAAAGTAATCGAATATCAAACAAACAAGTATATTAGTTCCCGAATATATACAAATCATCAAAACTTCACATGCATAAGCACGTGGCCTCTCCTTCGTTGATGTTCTCGTCATAATCATGTTGTTTTATGTGTCTCAAATGCAAAATATTGTGGTGGATCACTTTTCATATCAGAAATTTAAGTATGAAATGAGAATAAATGAATTCACATTAATGGGACGGGGATTATGTAACTATACGCCTTTGTATACGCGACTCAGACTCATTAACCCATTCGCAGTTGTATGTTTTAAACGCCATTACTGCTGTATTATTCTCATCCTCCGATCACAGGGTTTCAAAATCCAGAATATCTTCTTTGACGGAGGTACGGACCTGCTTAGGAGGATGTATTATTCTGTGCCAATTTTATACCATTTTTGTACATTTTGCAGTGTTTTGATTTTATATTATTAGTGTATATAGTAGCAAGACTTGAGCTCATCGCAAGATAATGTCATAAATACTACTGTTAGCATATGTTTCTGTGTAAACTCGAAATAAATACTGACAAAGAAAATGCTTTAGTTGGTTATTTTGCCTTTTCTTTAATTCGCCTGACTAATTGCAATTATCTATACTTTAAAAGTCGTAAAACAGACACAGTGTCGTGGATTGTAAGTTATTTTTGTTTGACAATCAGCAAGACTTGTTTTTTTTTCATGAGAACGTGTATTAATAAATCGCTAAATGAAAAAGCGCACGGTATGGTTTAGTGAAATGGCTGACACATAAGCCCCGTGGGTTAATTTCTAGTAGAAATCTATCCTCCTCCTCTTATTTTGTTTGATTTACGGCCATGATAATGGGTTATATCGAAAGATGGACGTTATTTGACCAGTCCTGTAAGTTATGTAAGTTGGTAACCCTGCAAGGGACGTTAGGTACCCGGTCACCCGGTTTTTTACACAAACCCCAGTTTACATTTTTATGAAAAATGAAGGCCATTTTAAATTGAACAGTCATATTGTCAATTCCTTCTCGAGCAGAGGTCCAACACCCATAAGGCATAAACCTATAAAACTTTTGCACATTGTTGACGATGCGCCTTTTTTAACAGATCTCATATCTTCGTCAAATAGTCCCAGAATACCAAACATGTTTTACCATACATTGCACCTATTCATCAAGTAATTCAATAGTTAACTTGAAAAAATCGTCCAGTTAGTTTCTTGTAGAAATCGCAAAATCCCTCTCCGTTCATCTTGTCCCATTACCGAGCGTGTATATTTGCTTATACAGTACTCACCATAAATAAATGACACCTGGATTTGCAGAAGTGAGGATAGAGTATACAAAATGTAAAACATAAAAACTTAAGGGATGTGTATCTAGACATTATTGGAAAGTATGAAGTCTCAAATCACCATGGTCTGGGAATGGTGATAGAAAATCAAGATGCCATTTATTCATGGTGAGCACTGTATGTATATTTGCTTAAATGCCATCATAGAACAGAATAATATAACTTGCTATAATAGTGGCTACCATTTGAGGTATAGACATTTGCAGCCTAAGATCTGAGCTATTTGCATTATATGTTTGTCAGCTTTTAAGATGTAAACACAATCACATATCAAAATAAAATAAAATATAAATGATATATTTTGTTGTTTTCTTTATTAACTGAATCTACAACATTTGTGACATGCATAGGTACACTTTTCTCCATAAGTTTGGCAACCGAAAATCTCCTTTTAGATGACTCTTTAAAAACATGTTGGTGTTTGGCGATTAGAAAAAACTGTCAAATTCCTAAATATTGTAATTAGGAACAAAATTTAGATTCAGACATTGACAAGCTTTGATATGCTATCAAATGATTACTTCGGAATACCAAACTTATGGAGGGGAGTGTATATTCACATGTCGACCATACATGTATGCAATACAATAATTAGTATAGACAATGATATAATAGAACTTTGATTCAATATTAATAACAAATACCCATTAGATAGAAACACATTCAATAGAGATTTGAAACTACCTTTGTAAAGATGAAATGTGTGTTCAATACAGCGAAAAGGTATGGAATACTATCTCAGCAACATGACTCGGCAGGATGTTGATGTGTCTGGGTGTAATCTAGCTTTTTATAAGGACTTTTCCATAGATGACTATATTTACTTAGGTTATGAATGCAATCAATACAATATGTCAAGGTTGTGTTGTGTCAATACAATAATATTGTATATTTATGTCAGTACACAGCCAATCTGCAACAGTACCATACAGTACCGTTTTGATTATGGTATTGTACGGTACTGTGAAATATTGTATCGTAGACTACAAAAGTACCATACAGTACCGTGAACAATGTACGGCACCATACTCAAATGGTACCGTATGGTACCATACTCTTAATGTACCGTAGGGTACAATGATTTTAGAGTGAGGGTACGTGGTGTACAATTCTGTACTTTATGTACCAGATGACACATGATAAGACATCACTTTTTAGTATTTAGGTATCGAAAATTATCTATTTCATGAAAATGGCGGTCTTCAGGGTCCTATGTTCAGTAAGTCATCAGCATTACATCTGTGAACAGATTATCAAATATTACATTACAACGGAAATACTAAATTGAGTGGCCATTGAGAATTCCTACTCAAGTTCTGTACCCATATAAGGCATGAGCTTATAAAATTTGAACAAAATCTGACAACTGTTATTTGAGTTGTTTGTGCCAACAGATGATCAAAACAACATAGGACGACTCGATGGACGGCTTCTCTATATCCCACCCTTTGGATAATTTTATATGTTATACTGTACATACAATGTTTCTGCAATGACATACATTCTTGAAATCAAACAGTATCCTGGGTGATATTTCAGATTCTCAATGAGGAAACTGCATTCCTGACACATATAATTGAATTGACCTTGAATCCTAGCCAATATTGTATTTTCAGTGCATTGCAAGGCAATTTCTATGCAACTCAACCTTAACCCTGTGAGACTCACTAATGTCAATTTAACAGTTCCCAAGAACTAGTTAAAATCAGCCTGGGTAAACCCTTTTCATTGCCATGAGGATGGGATCTTAAGTTTTTCTTGAATATTCTTGAGCATTCAATATTTCAGTCAACTAGTGTATTGTACAGGTTTAGATTCCGTCAACAGGGAGTATGGGGAGCTTATCAACCAAGGAGTATAATAGGGATAGTTTATTCAACAGGGGTATAATATAGGAGTTTCAGTCATTGGGGAATTAAGTAGTGAGTTTGACTCAACAGGGGTATAATGTGGGGAGTTTCAGTCAACAGAGGGTATCATACTGGGGGATGGACTAATCTGTACCGGTATACTAATTGGGTGAAGCATTGCTGAGTGTGGCAGAGAAGCATTGTTGGGAATATTCAAATGACTGAGAGGGTAGACAATTGGGATATAGTGAGTCCCACTTGGATGTAGTGCGAATCCAGGCACCATTTTGCCACTGTCTGTGGGTGGCAACTTCTGACCACTCGTCGAGCTACTGTCAGAGCTGGAAGATGGATAGGGTGTGCTTGATTGCTTATGGTCCTCATCACGACTGCTAGTACTTTGTGAACAGTTACTATTCAAGTCTGCTGTAAATCGTGACTTTAGATAGTTTTTAAAACTGTAATTCTCCCGTCCAGTTGAGGGATTTGGCGATTCACATTCTTCTTGTGTTTGCCCAGAGGGAATGGAGACACCAGAGTCGCTGTTCTGCTGTTGAGAAAATTTGGCATGGGTCTGATCAAGCCTGTCTTGACATGCGTAACTGTTTACGGAGCTCATAGGTGACGGACATCTAGGTCGTCCTTCTTGACGGTCGTGGCCAGATACAATCTCTCTGTCACGGGATTCTAAAAATGCAAAAGTAAACTCTCATTTAAAAATGTGTTTTACAAAAAAAATTTTAATACACGTAAATTGTTACGTTCATACTGTATCTTATATATCTTCTTTTGGAGCATAAATAAATTCATACAAAAAAGTTTTAAATGAGATTAACCTGCTGTTATGTAACTAGCTTGAAGCATGTTACAGGGGAGGGGGGGGGCTCAGACCAGCTTTTGCCAAACCTTTTGTTAAAATTTGCAAATATTGGGACAAGAATGATAAAAGTATGGTAAGGAAGTAAATTATAACAAAATTTGTAATTTTGAGCTGCCCCTTAAACAAAAAACAAACAAAAAGTGTCACCACCTGCCATTTGTTACAGATTCGGAACACCAACCATGGGATGACAATCACAAAAGTCAATCACCATCCACAAAAAGTTAGAGACTATATCACTTGTGGTGTTAACATAAAAATCAAGACCCTCTAATGAAAGCCTCTTATATATTAATAAATATATTTTAAAAATTAATTAAAAGATGATTAGACTCACTAGCACTTGAAACTGGTGACTTATCATAGAGTGTATGCTGTAGCTCAACCACAACAGGATCAGCAAGGGACATTGATTTACATTCCTGGAAATATCTTAGCACTTCATCTATACAGCGATCATATCCCATGGCGTATGTATCTGAGGAGGAATCAATGTTTTCGAATTTCTCTCTCTCACAGTCTGCAAACACAATACATAAATATGTTTATGGATTATCAATATATAAATGGTAATTTGACAACACTCTGGCTCACCTTTAACCTTGCCCAATGTGGCGTCTTTTTATTTTTTAAATTATACTTTCTGATATATCTATAATATAAAATCAAGATAAACAAAAGATAATACAGACTTGACCAAGGCTCGTAAACCTTATTTTACCCATTTAATTTTTCACACAATTGTATACATTACAATATAATACATTGTGCTAAAAATTAATAAAAGATATTTTATGTCCAACAATGGGACGTCACAATCTTTTAAGCATGTTTTGTTAATAATGTCTCTACACAGTTAATTAAATATATATTATACTTTGTGTGTAGAATTAAAAGTATATAATACATGTCACGTGTATGATCATTTATAAAATGCAATGTGTGTGTTCAGTATTAGCAGTTGGCAAAATTAATTGGAACAAAATCCATCAACCAGAAATTGAATTATTAGAGGGGTTAAATTACAAGTTTTAAGAGAGCCTGTAAGTGAGTGTGAAATATTTCGACCCCCAGGGACTACTGTCCCTCTCAATTAACACTTCTGGGGAAGGGACCTGAATAGAATTATTTTTCGTGCAACTTTAAACTCAATTGGCCAAGTAAACAGTAAAATTGGGGAAACTCATCCACAGAAGAACATAATTTTACACATTCATGTAAAAGTTTTAAAAAAACGTGTATCTTAACCTCCCTTTTGTCCAGACAGATGGGCAGCTTCTTTATATTCCCTGTTCAAACCCAAGGCAAATGAAAGCAATCAGCTTGATGGTGATAGTACAGTAATAATAGTAAAGGAGTAGATAAGGCTTGGAATAGGAGAAATTAATATATGGTTTCTATGCTTATCAGATCTTGGTGAGTAGCTGACATGGCCATTACAGAGAATTTCAATATGTAGTAAATGGTTGGCTCTTATGAAAGCATATAATAATGTAACTGGTTTTTGAACCGGAGAGGTTTATTTTTATGATCATGTTCCATCAATCTGATTGGATAAAACTGGATCAACGTATTACCTCTCAGGGCGAATATATATAGAGCTCTCTTATATTTGAAAGGGTAATATTTCTCCTTATCAAAAAGCCCACACTTCAGTCCATTCAGTATTTTCTGACATATGTTGAGAAAATGTGAATGATTTAAATGGAAAGAACAAGTTGTTTCTTGATAACATCAAGTCTGATCCAGTTGTGGGCTGAATGATTTGTATCATGTCGAATATAGGGACACATGTAGCACCATGTGCCAATACATTGTACTCATAGCTGTATAGCATGGCATTCAACGTGCAAGTCAATCAATGTTCTAATTATCAACCTTACAGTTAATTCAGCTTAAACAGAATTTATTTCTGTGTCACAAGCATTTAAAAAATTCCGTCCAAAACACCTTTTTAAAAAAAATTGTTTCCAGTCAATGCAAGCTTGTTATAATAGTTTTTGCTATTATCAGATCTCATGTTAAAGATCAAATACAGAGAGGTTTCATTCAAATTTTTTACAATGTTTAAAAGAAACATGGTTTTAAAAGTTGTCTTTTTAATTTGAAAATTAAACTTTCTTGTGACTTCCAGAATGGGTTGATTCCTCATAGGACCCATGTTAAAGTTCACAAAATATCTTCTTTTTTTAGACGGGCAATATTTTCTTTCACTAGACATATTTTCCATTGTATAATTATTATTATACACAAAAAAGTTATATGAAAATTGATCCACTCAATCTGAGACTATCTTCCATGGTCTGTCATATTATCTGACCAAAATTAGCCACCTGGTGGTGAAGTTGGTAACTACCTGGGTTATTGCTACAGATAATTCTATTGATCTATTGACTGAAAACATGATAATGATACTCCTTGGTCCAAATAGTTCATACTATTGAGGTGAATACCTGTTCATCATTCAATGATTCTCGCAAGGTTATTCCCGAAGCCTGAAAGGCCAGGAGAATATACCATGCAGAATCATTGAAAGTGCAACAGGTATTCACTGAAAATAGTATGAAACATTTGTTTTGTTATTCACTGTAATGTTCACCACTCTCTGATTGGGAATGTCTTACAAGAACAAATATGATTAGAACTCATTAGTATTTTATATAGAAAATTCCCAACGCTGAAATCAACTCAACTTTTCATATATTAGTCTAATTCAATACCTTCTAGATCAACTAATTTAAAACCTTCTCGGTCAATTGCATATGATTTACTAGAGCACCTGTCTAATTGCTCTAATGTACCTTAATTGTTTTGTCTGCGTAAATTACACAGTATTCTATCCTTTTCCTTATTGGAATTTACCTTGTACAGTCTATCTGATATTGTTTGTATTTATAACATGTGTGGAATAGATTTTAGATTTATACTGGATGAAAAATGCAACAGCAGGTGAATAAGCATCATTAGATACATCTTTTATTGTATGATCTGTAAAATGAAGCCCTCTGATTGGTCAGTTCTTGTGATGTACCAACCTGTATTGCTACTGAGATTGTCCCCGTTGATCATCTCCGTCGCAATACAGAAAATATTGGTACGGAGGGAACAATCTCAGTAGCAATACAGAGGATCACATGATAAAAATGTTATTGAATGATTTGAAGTGCAATACAGGATATATTCTGTCTCGATATTCTGTATTGGCACTCGACTTTGTCTCGTTCCAATACTGAATTCTCAAGCAGAATATATCCTGTATTGCACTTCAAATAATTCAATAACTTATATTACTGATATCACAGTGCTTGGCAAAAGAATACACCTTATTCTTGTTTGGTCACTTGTATGGTATAGACCAATAAGAGAGTGGGGAATATGACAGTGATATTCGTGAACCACCAGTTGTGTTCTCACATCGCAACCTACATACCATTGTAAGTCTATGAGTCCTGGGGCAGTGATGCTCAATTCTGAAGGATGCTCCAATTGCAAAGCTATCTTGTAACTAAGCTGCATTATTATTATATGGCAGACATCAGAGTCTCTTTCAATAGAAATTATCAACTATAAGTCTGACTGCTGGTGAAAAACCATGCATGCAGAGTCTAGTAAGAAGACAAAACTCTCTTTTAAAGGGGCAATAAGGACTGTAGAGAAAATAGGAAAGTTTTTTCATTTTTTCTGAGCTATCAAGGCAACATTTGGATTAACATCTTCTTTGACATACCTATTTTTTTAAAATGTTTGGATAAATTATCAATTTCAGCATTAAGAAGTGTAAATTCAGTTCAAAGCTTCAAAAAGGGGACTTCCACTTTTATATTTTTAAGATCCACCATGTTTCAATAGGAATATCAGCTAAAATAATGTTTATCTAGGGAGCTTCTTTGTAGATAATAAAAATAGATGTTAGTCTTGATGAAATATCCAAACTTAAATATATTTTGACACTGGTCCATGATCGTTGAATGACCCCTCTGCACTAATTATTGCACCTTTAAGATGCGAAGTCAATGAATGCAAAGTGTACTGGTGATACAAATGTTTGGACAATTTGATTGAATTATACACTTACATAGTAAAAGGACCGAAAAATATGTCTTACCAACAACTGATAGCAGAATGGCAATAGATAGAAGCTATAGAAATGCACAACAGGTTCTTTTCATACTAAATGGGTGACCCATCAACAGGTTCTTTTCATACTAAATGGGTGACCCATAAATTATCAACTACTAGTATATAGGAAGCTATCAGAAAATATTTCAATTTGCAAATGACTTGCTAAGATTTCAACCTACTGGATAGACAGGTTCTATAAGTGTGATTAACTACTAATCATCTATTATATTAGTAGAGTATGTTCAAACATGTGCTTACAAAGCCCTCATGTTAAGACACCCTTATGAAGAAATAATACCCTGGCAAAAGGCCAATTTCAAATAATTACCCTTTGCATTCGTTCAACTTCGCTTCTTAAAAGAGAGCTTCATCTTCACTCCTTCAGTTTACAATATCGAAATACGACTTTCTATCTATGGTAATTTCATCTGACATCACCCCATACATAGTTAATGAGCATGCATTTAGCATGTGTTCCTTCTAGTTTGGTGATTGGTTGAGAAATGATCAGCATGGTGGGTTTGAAATGATTTATGAACCAGGCTGTCACAGGTCATGGAGGGTGGGCAGGGTATCAAATAACCAACGTATACTAATACTAAGATGAATAAATAAAATAATAATATTGATACAATATACATGACTTTATCCAATTAAAGGCAGAATCAGATCTACAGGGAGTGACAAAATTGCAAGCATCATGTACACAATAATTGCCCAACCAAAGGATTCAAAGTGCAAAATAGAGGGAAAAATGTGTAAATTCTCCCAGATAATATAAACCCAACAGGGGCGTAGCCAGCTTTCAGTCAGGGGGGGGGGGTGCAATTGTGGCATAAACAAGCCAAATAATAAGATTTATTTTGAATTTAAAAAAAATTGATGCAACTTCCTTCAAAATTGAGCTAGAGGCTTCAAATAAAAAGCATTTTAAAGCTCTCATGATTTATTTTTATTGGTTATGATTTTAGATTTCTTTCTGTCTCCAAAAAAATAGTTTATGCACACTTTGCATTTGTTCAACTTCACTTCTTAAAAGAGAGCTTCGTCTTCACTCTTTCAGTTTACAATAAATCTCTGATCTCACGCCGCAATACGGACGACTTTCTATATGTGACCGCACATTTAGCACGTGTTCCTTCCAGTTCGCTGATTGGTTGAGAAAAAGTCAGTGTGGTAGATTTGAAATGATTTATGACCTTGGCTGTCACAGACACCAATCGTGGGGGCGGGTTGCTAAACTGTAATATTTGCTAGGCAGAGAGTTGTTTAGAACTAGACTCTGTGCGCATGGTATGATCTATATCATTTTAGTTGGTTTAATCTATAAACCTCCCAAATTAAGTTTGGTGGGATTATGTGAAAATAAAAAGACACTGCACTGAAACTGATATAACTGACAAGACATTAACCAATGTCAATGTTAGGGAGAATAATTAATAGCAGAAAATAGTCATGAATTTGCTAATAGCCATAATAGCTTTTAGACGTTAGAATTTGCAATTAGCGATGATACATACATTGCTCACACAAATAATCATTGATGAGTAGACCAGAAAAGTTACAATTGCAGTTGTGACAGTATTATAAAAGTACAATAATAACTTTTTTAAAAGAATGTTCATTTTTCTTACCTGGAAGCTTTCTTGTAAGCTCCTGCAGATGGCAGATATGTCTGATTGCCAACTCTATGATTTCTGTCTTCTCTATTCTTCCCTGACCCTAAAACCAAAAATTAGAGTTAAGTAAAAGGTACAGAACAGTTAATGAGGATAGCTGGAAGAAATTCTTTCCTATTTTGGACATTTTTGCATTTTGAATATTATACTATACTAGCATTTCATATACAGGGTGTCCAAAAAGTTGTGCCCAAATGAAACATTATATGGTGTCCCAAAAAATTTTACCCAAAATGAAACAGAGATAACTCAACTTTACTTCCATAAAAAGCTGAACTTTAAACATAGAGAGAATTCATTTTCCTATTCATATTCCATATATTCATATTCCACTCCAATTCGAGTTACAGGGTGAAACTTTTAGATTATCATTATAATCAAATTGTCTGTCAGAGGAGAAAGTTTCAAGAATATTCCTTCTTCACCCACATTGTCATTCTATGTTTGTCTCTGAACAATATTTTTGAGGACATCAAACATGGTAAAATGAGTAATGGTACTAAAATTTCAGATCTTATGCTAGTTAAATTGTCTGTCAGATGTACAAAGTCCTTTCAAAAATATTCCTTCATCACTCACAGAGTTATTCTATGTTTTGTCTTAGGGATAATTTATTTTGAGACACCCTGTATTTTAAAAGTATACAACAGTACTATTTTTGTCACTGTCTACCCAACCTAGAAATCACAATTTGAAAGAAAAAAGAAATTTGAAATTTTATGAACATTTTTGTATGTTGGTTTCAAGTATAATATCACTTTAGTGTAGACTATTTAATGATGGAAATCAAGATTATTTCTCCATGCATCTATCCCCTTGAACAGATACAAGTCGCCTACATGTTCACCTACCTGTTTAAGAAAGTGTTTGGGAATTAATTTGCTAAGGTCTGCAAGACAATTGTTCATTCGGTCACGCCGCCTTTTCTCAATGATTCGATGGGACATGGGGTCCTGGAAAAATAAAGTACAAGAACACAAATGAGTACATGTCCCCAACAATATATGATCCTACATAGATTTTCATTCTGAATGCCTGACACAAATAAGTTGAAGAGACAAGGTTTTCAAATGGACCAGTCATGTTGTTTGAATGCAAGGACAAGACTTTACGGACAAGAAGAGGGGGAATACCCACAAATTCAATGGTGAACCTATCTCAATATCTCGAAAGGTTCATCTTTACATAGATAATAGGTTCATCTATGGAAACTGGGGTATTTCCTTACAAAAAATATTAAATATGAATCATAGTTACACAGAGACAAACCAACAATGGCTGTTGCAGCTACTGTAGAAGCCATGTCCAAATTCCAAAATGGTGGACATACCCAGTAGCCCTTGTTTGGGTGTTCCAGTGTAATCATTTTTCACTTAGCATTTGTTTGAATTGGTACAAAATGATATCTATTCCATTTCCTTTGCAAGAGTGATCAATTAATGCGAAAATGTAAATGATCTATCCTTGTCAGAGAATAGTGTTCAAACTGATGACCTAAGGTTGGAATTTCCTCAGGGTATCACATTATGACGCACAAACAGTGTTCTTCTATATAGCCCAAACAACTTATTGTGAATTTTCAAAAACTTAGAGTTTGATATTAAACATCGGTGCCTGCAGTGAGATTTAATCATTTTAGCAAATATAGCATAGTTTCATGGTTCACCAAAGGAGACAAGATTTATTGGAAATGGAATATCAAAAATATGTTTCCTCACCCGTGGAGTTTTCGTTCGTTTGTTATGACTGAGCTCTCTCATATCCATCCCTGCAGGTATAGTGGTTGAAAAACTAAACCTTCTGAAAAGCATAAATAAAATACTAGATCAATACCACACTTTAATAACTAGAAAAACAACTCCAAGGAGTAACAAATTCCTAATAACAAAATATTCACGAATCTGTAACAATATGAATATCTACTATCTACTCCAACCATAATTTAAAAGACAGACATTCCAGAGATGTATCAGAATGTCTGCCAATTTAAGCATTTTGGTATGACCATTTACGAGTATCAAAGTCAAAAATCATATAGACAATGCAATATTTGTGATTTGATATAGTATAGTATCAGGCTCGTAGCCAGGATTTGCCAAGGGGGTTCAGTTTTCAAAAATTTCCAGAGGGGGTCCACATTTGACAATTTTGGCCCAAATATGGCTAAAATCACTTGAGAAGTGCTAAAAATGGTGAAAAACTGCATGATTTTGAAATAATTTTTGACCAGGAGGGGGGGGGGGGGGGGGTGATGGCGTTCGTCCGAACCCTGCGAACCCCCTTGGCTACGGACCTGATAGTATGGATTGTTGACTGACTCACTGACTGATGGACCAAGGGCTTCACTATATCCATGGTTCATCAGTTTCATTGGGATAATAATGATATTCCTGTTAAAATATTTGAGCTTCTCCAATTCCCCACTGGGTTGGACTCAATTTTTGACATAAGCCTTATCTTATCAGCACAGGGCAAGGAGGACTGGAAGCCAGGGTTCCAACTTGATATTCTTTAATCTCCAATGTGATGCGATATTGCTATTTGAGCCTGTATATTTCTATGGTTGCAAGGAGAATGACTGATATTCTTGATTTTGAAGTTTGTATTCATAACATGACTATGACGTGACACCAATATACATATGGAAGAGAATATCTAGTGTCGTCCCTAGGAGCCGATCCCCTTGAGAACAGGGTGAAATTTGTTCCATATTGCTACAATGTTACCACATAATTAATTGCAAAATTGACACATGTAGTGACAATGTTCAAAATTGACACATGTAGTGACAATGTTCCCAAATGTAGCTGAGAAATTTCCCATTAATAGACAGTACAAATTTCCCAAAACCTGTACATTTTGCTTGTTTTACAGATTATCCAATAATTAGGGCTCCCTAAGAGCAAGTACCTGAACATCTCTCTTCAGTAACTAAAATTCAAAATGTGTCACACTTATCGCATTTTCTATTCTAAATGATATCATCTCTTTATCTCATCATTTTTGTATGGTTGTTAATATTACAGTCACATTTGCTTGTATTAAAGAGGCACCATGTTCACTTGAGGCTCTAGCCAATTCTTGGCTAGAAGTGATTCCATTTAGAAAAAAAACATGAACTATTGTAAAATTTCTAGTCGGGTTCAATAAATTTAGGTAATATTCTAAAAACCGTCTTCTGTAATATTTCATGAATTGAAAGGGAACTGGCTGGGCTCCTTGATGAGATATTGCATGATTTCATCAGGATTTCGTCTAAAATTAAAGCAAACGGCTCCAAGAAAAATTGGCAATATCCAAAAGCTGGATGAATGGTCGTTAAAGTCTGACATAAGTAACTGGCTGTAAATTCTAAGTTAGCGATCCATAAGATGTGAACTAATACATTGATCACTTCATGTGTTTTGGAATTTTTGGGCCTCCTACCTCATACCCACCTACGTGGGACATGATACAGTCATTGAATTTTTAAATTTGATTTTTAAATTTCAAAATAGCTCTAATTATTAACATTTCTACAATTCCAGCTTTATTTTATGACTAGACGGATGACAGATCCATAAATAAAGGCATATGGGTGCATTGTAATGTGTAATGACCCGAGGGCGCCCCAGGGGAATTTCTACAATTCCAGCTTTATTTTATGACTAGACTGATGATAGATCCATAAATAAAGGCATATGGGTGCATTGTAATGTGTAATGACCCGAGGGCGCCCCAGGGGAATAGCGAGCATAGGTCCAGCCAGCCAGATAAAGAAATTGAAAAGAAATCGAGCATTAAGGGGGGTCTGCGGGTTCTCCCCCAGGAAAACTTTGAAATATGGTTGTATTTGGAGCGAATTTCCAACCATCTGGTACGCCTGTCCGTTCCCAGCGTACCGGGCGCTACGCCCATGGTAGGTGGGTATGAGGTAGGAGGAGGTGTTTTATACAAAGTCTTTGATTTCAAATTTTATGATTATGACATGACCTGTATACAGCGACATGACTCACATCCGGCAGAGTAAAAACATGCAGGGATTTATCTTTGGACAAAGGCCTTAGAAGGTAACACCATGTCACCAGGGGCGGATCCAGAATTTTGTGTTAAGGGGGGGGGGGCGTGTGATAATAACTGTGAGCGAATTAAAAAAGAGTCAAATTTTGTAAAAGGCGATGAGGCAAAACACGAATTTTCCGACTTTTTAGGGGGACGTGCGCCCCCAACGCCCCATATATAGATCCGATGGTGGTCACATATGGGCCCTCACCTAGACTATATCCTATTTAGTCTGAATTATATTCAGACTATAAGGCACCTATGTTAAAGTTTGGTAGTATGAAATATTTGTTTACATAGGAAGTGCTATTCAAAATGGCCGATTGGTAAAATTAATTTGCACATTTGTTTTTCAACTAGCTTTATTTCCACTTGACAATATGCTGTTTTACTTTTTATTGCTTTCAATTGTACCTTACTATTTCATTGAAATTTTGTAATGTTTATATTATTGAAGAAATGGTTCCTCTAATTGATAATTTTATGCAAAAAATTTCACTGCAATTTCCACAGGAAAGTAGTGCATCATAACAGACTGACTTCTAGTCAGTCTGTTGGATACATACTAGGCCCTCACCCCTTACTTTTTTTATAGTGACAAGACTATCAGTCAGAAAAGATGGTCTTGCCACAAGATAATCAATAAATCATACTACTTTGGAAGGGGAAGCCCCAAAACTTTAAATGAATTTTAAAGGGATAAGTTCCAGCTACCTGTCAGACGGATTTGCTGATCCATAAATATCACTTCCATCGGATGCATAGAGACTGTTGTTTTCAGTGCTATGCGTATTTCCGATGTGCAGGTTCCCTGACCCCAAGGCATAGGGGATCTGGTCCATTCGTCCACCGTCGAGTGTACGTCTTCTCTCTTTCTGTCTCTCGTCTATTGACAAGTCGGACCCAGGCCCAGAATTTGATATATATTGGGACGTTTCTGACTGACTTCCAAACTGCATCGATCGAACGTCTTTCTGAAAGCAATTTCCCGTTCCTGTGCCCGTCGTCCCCGCCACAGTCATTTTAACACTGTCTGTAGATTGTGTCCCTTCTTGGGTTGCTTGCCTGTTAATATTATCCTCATACATGCTATTTTCCCTATGAATTCAACATTTCTTGATACAATGATCGCAACGTAAACATTGAGGCTGTTTCAACCAAAATTTCGTCCATGTTTAGTGTTGCCTCACGTGTGGCTCGAGAGTACATGTCACATGACACGTGCGGGCCTTCTATCACCTTTGATAAATCGATTCGCAAGAATTTATTATAACACATACACATTGTTCCGGATCTTTAGATCGTGTTTATATTTTACCTATCTTTAAATTAAAATTGCCGGAGAAGAGATATTTAAATTTAATTAAAAAAAATTATTCGGTCAATTGCTATTCATTGATACAAGGCCGGCTAGTGACTTTCAGGCAAAAATATGTGTAGGCTAACATTGACAGAATCGCTTACCTTCCGATATAAGAAGACTATAATATTATAGCATACGATTCGTGCAAATAACGCGTTTGCTGTTACCAGCAATTTCATAACCCAATTTATCAACCTACCTCTCAGATTTTCCTAATAACAAGTCCAAATCGTGTGAAATAACACTACGCCCCGGACAATCTCAACTGGCACCAAATTTATCAACCTACCTCTCAAATGTTCTTAAAAACAAGTCCAAATCGTGTGAAATAACACGCCCGGGACAATCTCAACTGGCACCGTGTCTATGCAGGGGCGTAGGAAGGTGTAAATTCAACACTACGCCAAAAATCCCGCCAAAAAATATGAAACAATTGTGTCAATATTCTATATCAAAACGCCTATATTATGCTCGTAAAACGTCATTTTATGGTAACAGAGATTTAAGCTTGCAATATTCACAACCTAAATGTGAACGGAAATACTGAAGCGATGCATTTGTATGGGCGATTGGTCATACGTATAGGTTGGCGTTTCGATTTCATATGCAAGCTTTAAATCCCCGATACCTTTTTAATGTGCTTTAAAATGTTCGAATGATTTTCATCATTTAAAATCACCTTGGAAAGCCTATCTTTTAAATCTTGACACAAATCATTCTCACTTTGCTAATGTCTCGAACGATTGAGACGACCAATTTCCAAAAAACAATTAGAGATTTTTTTATTATTTTCGAATAATTGAATTAAGATATATAGTATTGTCGGATTCCATCGTGTACCGTGCAAAACAATACGTACAGATTAAAGAAACTAGTTTGATCAATTGATATGAAGAAACGCATTCGTGATCAATGAAACAAATAAACACACCCACCACAACGGTCAAATCGAGGTCAACGTGACTTAGGGGATGCCAAAAAATGTTATAAAACAAGAATCTATTATTTTTCAAATGAAAAAAAACTAGGTTATCGCTTTTCTAGAACTGAAATCAACGTGTAATTGAATAATCAGCATTTTCAAGTTGTTTTTGTCTTTAACATCCATATTTCGAAAAGTACTACCAATAACAATTATTGTTGACTAAACTATAATTTCGTGTCTATGATTTTGCATAGCAACGGAATATAAATCGATAGTGAAATTGAAAAATTGGGGTAGGGGAGAATAAAAAAAATATACATCTAAATTTAAAGAGGTTCATCATTATAATTATGTGATACCATAGTTAGCATAAGCATTACGGAAAATGCAGAAAAAATGTCAAAGGTATTCATCAAGTAGTTTTTGAAAAAAAAAACAGTTTTCCTCTCAAATTCGTGAAGAGAACGCGATTCACGAATATTTGGCGAAATTGTATTTATAAGACAGTCAATAGTGGCTCGATTTTCATGAAATAAAGCATGTTGGTAAGGGAATTCAATCTGTTAAATGATATTTGCCAGACAGACCAATATGGTATCCACAAAACATTTCTTTAGGCTTGTGTGCTCGAGATTACTTTTACAATTTAAACAATGAGAAAATATGACTAAAGAACATAGGAAAATTAAAAAGTCTTTTTTATTCTCACTTTTCAACACTACGCACTGGCGTTTTGGCGTACATTGTTCCTACGCCACTGCTATGTCTATTACTATTAATAATCTGCGAGGCTTGTAATCGGTACCCATTTGAAGCAGATATATAGAATTTAGTAGTACTTGTATAGATGAATAAATGATATTAAATGAATAGAAATAAATACACACATAGCCTACATAGGCATACATCTACACCAGTTATATTTTATTGCGCCGAAATATCATACGGGAAATCACAATGTAGAATAGCTAGCGCCTAACATGTGCTATGCTTACCATTTTAAAAGAGTGAAATAAAGTTGCTAATAGACACGTGTACTACAGCATGGTTTAGGCTGCCCTGACAAATTTTATCGTAAGTGGTGATTTCCAAGTTGGCATTTTCAATACCTTTGATTTACATCCAGGGGCGTCAAAACGATTTTCCAAGGGAAAGGGCATCATGATGAACTCTGACATCTCATTCCTTCTCAGCCCTGAGATGAAACAGAAAGATGAGCTATGAGTAAGTCAGAATGGGGAATTGGCGACTTTTGGGTATGAATGGGTCGTGCGTGAAGCGCGCAATCTAGGAGGATCGGGGGCATGCCCCAGAAAATTTTCGAACAGTTAAGACCCTCTTCTTGCCAGTTAGCCAGCTTTTACCAGGAGGGGAGCTTTTTTCCAGGGGGAGGAGCTTTTTCACAATTTTGGCTAAAAATAATGCAAAAAATTCTCAGAAAGATGAAAAACTGCAGTGGTTTTGAAAGAATTTCTGGCCGGGGGGGGGAGCTTCCGCTCACCCCAGCTCCCCTCTGGCTACGGGCCTGCTCTCTGATGCATTCTGAACATATCTCAGAAGAATATTCCCAATAATAAAAACAACTTGAAAAATGTGTTTTTAGAAAACTTAACTTGACGTTGACTAAAAAACTGTGACTTACTAAAATAGAGCTTTCAATTCAAGGGTCGGTTTCTAAAAACATCTGGGAAAGGGGGGCCCGACGCCAATGGACATCCATTCTAGCATCTCTTTCATTCATTCTGTTATGTATTTTTCATACTGTTATGTAATTTCTGGTTAAAAACTGACCAGGGTAGCCCTTTCGTGCAAATAAAGATATTTCCGAGTTACAACAGATAATTCGCTTGTAAGGGTCTCCCGGGAAGGGTCTGGCACAAGAATTTCATCGCATGTAGGACAGAAAGGTGCCCTAGTCATTCGACCAGCTATCTGAGCCCCTGTAAGCCCCCTCCTCAAAATGAACTGTGTTGCGGGTGAAGTGGATAACCAGGAGTAGATAAGGGTCCACACAGTCTTGAAACACCGAGCAGTCAGTGAGTTATCATCATTAGTCTACATGGAATACCATGGCCCTCTCTTCTTGCATCATAGATGCGATGTGTATCATAATGGTGTGTTATGTATAATTGCAACTTAGGAAAGGATTTATTTACTAGACAGGTCCGTAGCCAGGATTTACCTGAGGGTAGAGCGGTTTTACCAAAGGGGGAGCTTTTGTCAAAGGCGGCCGCTCCCTTCCCCCCCTGGCTACGGGCCTGCTAGATGTGTAATAATCTACTCACACGCACGAATACTCGGGCACGAATATGATGAAAAAGATGGACGCGTGATTTTACTATTTACAAATAGGGACTGAGAAACAGCTGGAAAGTGAAAATGGGTATTGGAAAGTATTACTTGAGATTTGTTCATTTTCTTGTTGGAATAAGTTACTTCTATGATGTAAGGCGATATCTAGCGTCGGAGACTTGCGAAAATAGGATATCCTCATCTTTATACCCCACCCTATTATTTTAGGGGGGTCAGAAGAAAATAAACAGAAAATCATAATTTTGGAAGTACATGTATATGAGGCACAAACTTAATCTTTGCACCAAAAAAAATAACATCAGTAGTGGAGAAAAAATATTTTGAACGAAAAAAGCTACAGATGCCCCTACCCAGATATTTGAGGGGGTCAAATGAAAATGGACTTTCATTCATAACTTTGTAAGTATATGAGGTACAAATTTAATTTTTTCACCAAAATTTATGTAATAACATCAGTAATTCAGATTTCTTTTGATATATGGCAATAAGCTAATTTGCATAATAAGACCTTATACAGTTATAAAAGTTAAATGACGAAGTGATAAAATACGACATTTACTTTAACGTATGTGATAATTCTGATAAATACATTTACAAAAAGTATGCACAATATAAAGAAGGTATTTAATATCTTTAATTATAACTCAATTAAATTACCAAATAAGTGTCCATTTTTTAGTATTCTTAAACTTATGAATTCATGCAGGAATACATCCCTGAATATTTTAATAATATTTTACAATTAAAAGAAAAAGTCACATAATTATTATTTCTATATATTTATTTACAATATTAATAGATTTTACATTTATAACAATACCAACTTCAAACCTGGCTAGACTAAAAGTACCCTTTCCGACAGATTTTGCATCTTTAAAAAGAACGATCTTTTTTGCATGAGCATCTCTTTAAAGGAAAACTCTGCCTTTCCTTATACTACAATATACATTCTGCGCACCCTTTGCTAATGCTTTGTATGCGACACTCAAAATAAATAAATCATGATAATAATTTAAATTCAAAATATTATCATAATATAATAAATACCAATAACAAATCCTAGAACATATTTGGGCATACTATTACTTGTACTAAGAATACAGCGCTTTTCACTAAATCTAAAATATCATATCATCTTTTGGATGGTAACATTATATTTTGAAATACAAGTATATAAATATACTTTTCTCTATATTGTTTTAGAAAACACGTCAGACACTGCTTTTGTTCTTGGTATCATACGTTCGGAATGAAATGAAACATCTATCCGAACCTCATTGGAACAAAACGACATAAACACAACGTGTTTGATTTTAAAAAAGCATCTTGTTAATGAAATAAAAGGTTTATCTTAATTTTTATTTATTTGGGGGGGGGGTTGTTTTTAGTTTTTGCATATTTTTTTGTAAAATCAACCCAAATTTCCTTTGTATAAATATAATATTGAGAGGTCTAAGAAAATGTTGTATATGCTATATATTTGTTCGAACAAAGTTCGGAAAGACATTTCATTTCATTCTCAAGAATTGGTAGAAAGGAACAAAAAACAATTGCACTAAAAAACAAAAAAATGTTAACAAAAACAGTTTTAAAAATATATATAAATAATTTTGCATTAAATTGTTGCCAATCAGTCAACATTACATAAAGGACCGTGTTTTTTACAAAATGTTTTCAATAATTGGTTTAAGAGAAAATCATTGTTGAATTCAGTTCACCATATCGATACCTATCACTTATAATAACACGTAAAACAGGATGAAGTTAACATTTAACTTATGTACATGCGTAGCTTATCTATATGTATTTTTATTTTGTAAACGATGTTTCGGTAAATAATTGAAAATGAGTAGTCTCGTATCAAACCCTTGCCTACCCCCATGAACAAACATCTCTTACACTGGGAATGACAATACTGGGAGGGGGACATAGAGGCTTGATGGAAGACTATACAGTAATAACGCAAGGCACAATCATCTCTCGATCTGCTGCGTTTGTATGGAAATGTTAAATCATTCTATATTCTTCTTCTTTGTCTCCAATGGCTTTTCCAGTATTGTTGTTCTTACTAAAATGTCCGTCACGGCATATGGGTCGCAATTCGATGACGGCCTTCTATCTTCAAGATAGCCAAATCCATCCTCAGACACCTGGCGTGGAATTCGAACACTAGCCCCTCTATGAGCGACACCTGCCGTGAAAACATCGATGCTTGATGTCTCATGGCGTCCAGTAAGTCGACGTTTGTTGGACTCCCCTCGATATGGGTCATACGATTCGATATGCTCCTTATGTTTCAGGGCCATATTTTCGATAGCATCATTGATGGACCTAAAAATTAGAAGCAAAATTGAATTACACTATCACCCTTGGTATACGCAGCTAGCGAAAGTGGACCGGTGTGAAGGAATTGGTGATCACAGTCCACAGTCTTATCAATATAAAATGGTAGGAATTATCCGGGGTACTACTATTACTTTTACACGTTCAAAAGATCTATTAGCAAGTCGGCAAGGATCCGAATAAAAGCTAAATACAAAATAACTTACTCTAGTCCCCCTTCTCCCGTCCTCATCTCAACTGTGCTGTAATTCGTGTGGGCCCCAGCGCCATTCCAGTCCCCGGGCATTGGCTTTGGATCCAATGTTGCAATTACACCAAAGTCTTCAGCAACGCGATACATCAGGAAACGAGCTATCCATAAATGGTCCCCCATTTCAATGCCTTCACAAGGGCCAATTTGGTACTCCCACTGAAAAGAAATAGTAACATTTCACTGTTAGAACATATACTCTGGTTCATTTTATGGTGCATCTGCAATTCTTATTGTAAAAACTGTTACGCGGTATATGGCATACATTCATGGTTGCGCGGTATTTGTGATACAGGTGAATATGCCATACTCACCTGCGGTATATGGCATATTCCGCAAGTGAGTATGCGATATTCCGCAGTGAATATGCGATACATTGATTTCAGTGAATACCCGATACCAACCTGCGGAATATGTCATACTCACTTGCGGAATATGCCATATACCGCAGGTGAATATGACATATACCGCACGTGAAAACGTCATACAGAAAGCGCTGATTTGATTGGTTGCGAGAATCGACTCTAAATGAAAAACTATACGCTGGATTACCAATATAGTTAGTGCGTCGAGTACTAATATATTAATCCTGGATTGATTGAGTAAGTTTATTACGCGAGATTGGTGACTGATACTTCTGCTAAGTTAATATATTCGATACACAGTACTGTTGATTCAATAATCATTATAATAATCTATAACGTTTTACTTGTTCGTTCAATCGATCCAATTGACAATTGCGTACTTCCGCATCACGTTCTCATTGGTTAGTGTGTGTGCCATATACCGCAGGTGAATCTGTCATACACCGCAAGTGAATATGCCATATTCGTTGCGGAATATGACATATTTTTGTATCGTGTTTACCGCATAACAAAAACATCTATCTTACAAAGTATTATCCGAAAGTAATAATTTATGATTACTTATTATCGTCAAAACATAGAGATGGTGTGTTTTGTTTGGGGTTACCCTTTTGAGACAATAAAGCTGGGACTTATTTTGTGTCGGTATATTGTAGGTACAATAGGGTATTCTACATACCTGACCGGGCATAACTTCTGCGTTTGTGCCCGCTATCTTTAAGCCCGCATAAAGACATGCCCTATAGTGAGCTTCTACAATTGCTCGTCCATACACCTTGTTGGCGCCAACTCCGCAATAGTACGGGCCTAAAATAAATCATAACAACGTATTGTCCTAAGACAGAATAAACATGAAAAATAATAAACAACTTTTATAAATCACCTTGATATAATAGAACAAGTTATTATGACCCGTCATCAGGGACGCGGCGCACGATATTCTGATTTGTAACATTGAACTTATTGGAGAGGAACAACCATGTGGTGAATAAGAATTAACAAAGAAAGTGGATATTTTAAGAACAAAAATTCGAAGTCATCTTCGGGGCGACAGTCATTCTGTTTTGTAAAACAACATTTATTGTAAAAAGTAAAACGGCAATGGAATGCATATTTTTGAGTACAAACAATATTTCATCGAGTATTATTGAATATTTACTCACCTTGGGGCCCTGGGAATCCATTTTTCGGCCAACCAAAGGGATGGCCATCCTGATCAAGTAAAGTGAACTCTTGCTCTATTCCGAACCAGGGATGACTGTCCTTTGCTTTTATCATGGCTTTCTTACACTCATGTCTTTTGTTCGTTGCTGAAAAATATAACAAACGTTGCGTTAAAAGCCCGGATCTATGAAATTTCTTAACATGTGTCTGGTGTTCGGGTACAATAATATACTGAAAAGTCTATAAGCTCCATCAACAAACTTCAAAACTTTGCTTGTTTCAAAAGCGAGAAAGTTAAAGTGTCCCAGCTGACAAATGAACAGTAAGAACACGTATTAATGATAATGATTTTGGGGAGTTTTCAAAGTTTGGGATATGGGAAATCGTCTCAACTGACCTGTGACAAGGAAGAACACGTAATAATGATAATGATTTTGGAGAGTTTTCAAAGTTTGGGATTTGGGGATGTTTTCATATGACTTATTGTGCTCATATATGCATGTCTATTTCTTACTATAGTAAATGTAATACTCTGTTTTTTGCCACCTATGCTTATACAGGTAGGGGTCTTTTGAAATCACTTGTATATCGATTAACGTGTATGAAAATTTCTTACGATGTGGCTTCCTATTGTGATCGTATGTCTCGCAAAGCAGCAGCTTATTCTTTCCTCTTCTGAATGGGTCTCTAAACATAGCAACAGGGTAGAGGTATACATCGGAGTTGGATCCCTCTGCTTGGCCAGTACTAGAGCCGTCAAAGTTCCAAATTGGACAATCTGAGTAACATAAATGGCATAATTTTATTTTCAAGTGGTAATTTGCTTGTATGTGAAAAAATGATGTCCTTTTTGCCTCCAAAACATAAATTGTACCCTATGCTGACGTATCTTTCCTGCCACAACATTTATTGGCTAATGTATGGTCATGTGATTGAGATGGTACACCTTTTTTAATTGTTTACTTCTAATAGGGAAAAACAAATCTAACGAAAACAATTCACTTCTTGTTTACAAATGAGAAGTAAACAAGAAGTAAATTGTTTTTCATTAGATTTGTTTTTTTTCCTAAGAGAAGTAAACAAGAAATTTTTGTTTTTCATGAGATTTGTTTTCATTGTAAGAAGTAAACAAGACATGAATTGTTTTTCATTTAGAATGTCATCACATGAGGGAAAAACATTCGAAATGAAAAACAATTTGTGTCTTGTTTACTTCTTACAATGAAAACAAGTCTCATGAAAAACAAAATTTCTTGTTTACTTCTCATAGGAAGAAACAAATCTAATGTAAAACAATTTACTTCTTGTTTACTTCTCACTGGGAAAAACGAATGTAATTAAGAAATATTTTTCTCTTAATATATATAACTCTTACCTTCGGGCTTTTGAGGCTCCGAATCCAAAGTTTTCGTTTTACAACGAAGGTGTTCCATCGTGCCGTCAACCCATATGTACATGACTTGAACCCTATCACCCTGCTCGAGTTCAAGATAGTGTTGAAGGGTATTTTTGTCAGTATAGGCGTTAAATTGCGTCATTTTGAGGTATGCTGAGTTGACGAAGTATATCGGTGATGCAAACGATATGCTATAGTGGCAGAAGTAAAAATAGCTGCCCTCTTAAATAATATGCCGTCCTCTTGCCAAATATGCTGTCCCTTCTCCGAATATGCTGTCCGAATCTGGAAGAGAGAAGATAAAATTGTTAAATCAGATTTAGAATAGATAAATCTTCTGAAACATATTAGGTAAAAAATAAATGATATGAATGTAGTGGTTAGGGTCCTATTATAGGCGCGCCATCAAATGTTATTATGGAAGTCCCTAATAATATTGTCCCGTTTTCATTGATTGATATAGTCACTTGACCTAATTAAGACTGACTGATAAAGTCATATAAAATGACAGGGATCTCCACTGATAAATAAAGTTGTAACTGAATGGAATAGTTAACATTTTTTAATGCGATGTAAAAATAAAAAAATGAAGGCATTCACTGTCCTAGATCCGACCAGGCAGCTATCCGTCTAAAGGCACCTGCTGTTGCTATGGTAACATACCTGGTGTAACAAAGCAACATCTTTAAGTTTTATTGATATCGTTTTGGATTTGAATATGCAAAAAAGTATCAGTGAAAATTTCAACATAGTAAACACTTCCTTCACCTTCAAAAATCCAGCGGTTACTTATTTTTTGATCGGACATTGTAGTATTCCATTATCATATGGGTGGTATGTTTGATGTCACTAGAAATTATTTCCCCCTTTCATTGATTATTCAGTTATATAATTGCAGTTTATACCACGTTTTATAAATAATATAAAAGGCATTTAAAGTCATATAGTAGAGAGAAAGGAAAAGCCTCAAAGGTTTTAAATTTTCTGATGACCTGTCACTGACTGATATCAATTGAAATGGAAATACTGCTGGCTCTTGAACTTTTATTCAAATTTATTTACCAGTAACGTCATAGCATTGCTCTAGCCTCTCATAGGACACCTATTAGACACTCCTTCGTAAAAGAAATAGATACTTCACCTTGATGCATTGAATACGTCTGTAATTGCCCCCAATTCAAATGCCTTGCTAATCCCAAATCATGATACACACCTTCTTAAGTTATAAAAAATGACTACCATGTATGGGGGTTGGTTTTCCATTAAAAAGTCAAAATAAATCATTTTTTGTGTGACCTTGTCATTAATACAGTACAGCGGTCTCTTTTTAGAATACAATTAAAAACATCGACCAAGTCCAATTCATATAGAGAATGACATGTACAAAAGTAAATACAAAGTTATGGAGAATAGCATAGTCATGTATAAAAGCAAATGAAAAGTCATAAGCAAAGCAAATGAAAAACGATGTACAATATCAAATGCAAATTCATGTATGCATAAGCATGCAGTTATGTACAATAGCAAACGTAATCATGCATAACACCAAATGCAAAGTCGTGTACAATATCATTAGGAGCCATGTACAATAGCAAACGTAATCCTGCATAACACCAAATGCAAAGTCGTGTACAATATCATTAGCAGCCATGTACAATAGCAAAGTAAAGTCGTGTACAATATCATTAGCAGCCATGTACAATAGCAAACGTAATCATGCATAACACCAAATGCAAAGTCGTGTACAATATCATTAGGAGCCATGTACAATAGCACACGTAATCCTGCATAACACCAAATGCAAAATCGTGTACAATATCATTAGCAGCCATGTACAATAGCAAAGTAAAGTCGTGTACAATATCATTAACAGCCATGTACAATAGCAAACGTAATCATGCATAACACCAAATGCAAAGTCGTGCAGCCATGTACAATAGCAAATGCAAAGTGATGTACAATAATATAAGCAAAGTCATATATAATAGCATGATCAGTCATGTACAATAACATTTAAGCAGTCATGTACAATAGCAAATGTAATCATCAAGGACAAAATCATTTACAATATCATAGGCAGTATGTAATGAACAATAACAAATGCAATTTAGTCATGTGAAATAGCAAATGCAAATTCATGTGCAATAGCAAATGCAGTCATTTTAAATAGCAAATGCAGTCATTTTAAAAAGCAAATGCAGTCATTCTAAAAAGCAAATGCAGTCATTTTAAATAGCAAATGCAGTCATTTTAAATAGATAATGCAGTCATTTTAAATAGCAAATGCAGTCATTTTAAATAGCAAATGCAGTCATTTTAAATAGCAAATGCAGTCATTTTAAATAGCAAATACAGTCATTTTAAAAAGCAAATGCAGTCATTTAAATAGCAAATGCAGTCATTTTAAATAGCAAATGCAGTCATTTTAAATAGCAAATGTAGTTATTTTAAATAGCAAATGCAGTTATTTTAAATAGCAAATGCAGTCATTTTAAATAGCAAATGCAGTCATTTTAAATTGCAAATGCAGTCATTAATTTAAATAGCAAATGCAGTCATTTTAAATTGCAAATGCAGTCATGTGCAATAGCAGATGAAAAGTCGTGCATAGTTGCAAATGCAATCAAACACAATAGCAAATCCATTTTTGTACAATATCAAATATGCAAAGTCATGTAAAATAGCAAGTACATTGCATACCATTCGATTAAATTGACAACTTTGTTCAACGGATCCTTGGTAATATCTTGGATTAAAACATTTATGTAATTTATACTGTCGTCACTGTCTTAATTAATCGGCCATTTTAGAAGAACAACCTAAATTGTATTCTCAAGTTGATTCACCGCTAGTTACTTATTTTTTAAAATTCAAATGAATTCATGATTTCAAAATGCACATATAAGCTAAACAATGTTTAAGAATAACAATTTAATTGGTTTCTATATTATTTTAAAGTTTGTAATTTTATATTTTCTGATAATTTTTAATTTCTTTTGAGTTAATAAAATATAAAACATCTATGTCTAAAAAACGTCTATACTCACCAAAAGTTCCAATGTCCTCGCGGTCTTAGAAAGCCCTGGAATGATCTCACTGTTTCAAAAACGTATTTATATACAATATACACTCCGTAAACTTTTGAAATTGATAAATAGATTTTGTAAGGTGGTTTCGTAAGCTGAATGGTGTTTTTTTGCTGAACAACTGGGTCGGTAAACGATGACATCAATGAACTGAGTGAGTCGGGTGAGGGCACAACGCTACAGCGAGTTTGTGTTAAGAACATAAAGACACGTATTTTTGATTTGATCTTTTTATTCGATCTAACCTTCAAATTGTTATTTATCTAAAAAAATTAAGATAGTAATATATATCATGCATACTCGTATATATCTAGTGGTAAACTTTTTAGGACAAGGTTATACTTGTAAAAGGTTTTAAGAAATTTCTAGGTTTTGCTGAAATAAATCAATCATTAATTTTGAAGTTTCAAGATTTGCCATTTGACATGCTAAGTGATGTTGGAATTTTTTTCACTTGCCACCTTTTTTAGATGGATCACGATGAAAAAGTTTTTACAGTCTCTAAGTTTTAACAGAGACATGTGTCTCTCGTTTTAAATTCGCGTAGGTATGAGGGTCCCTGAAATCTGGAGTTGGTATTCCGAACTTCAAAAAAGGATATTCACAAGGATGATTAATTGTCCTCTGGTGTTTTCGGACGTTGTAACCTGAGGGGAAAAGTCTCTCGAACTTCAAAAATGGATCTTAACAAGGATGATATTTGTCCACGCAACTAGATAATAACATCTGAGTTTCTATATCCAGTCGAGTATGTTGGAGTTTTTTTTAAAAAAGTGTGTTTGGATGTTTTGTCATTTATCTAGTTGTTAGTTTTTCTGTGATGTGCTGACAATAATAAGTACATAAAATGAAAGAAATTGTTTTCTTTTTATCTTTGTTTACGTAAATAATCATTGTTCTTTTTGACAGCTTCCTTTATTGAGGTCTCAAGCGTAGTGTAACAACAAGTCATTGTCCTGCAGGTAAAAACAAACAAAAACAAGCACATTTTATTTATTTTATTCTGCGCTCTGTGTGTTCTACACAGTAAAATCGGGCAAATAAACTGACTTATAAAGAGACACACTCTGTGTTGGAGGAGCTGTTTTAGTGACGAAAACAAAATTGACCATGAAAAACATATTCAATTAAATAGTCATTTAGATCCTCTTAAGTATGAATTTTAATGAACTTGTATTTAATATTTCATTTGTTTGATTGATTTTGATTTTGTTTGAATTCTTGCCTTGAAAATCAGTGAAAGTTTCCCAATTTTTTGGCCCTGGTTATGATACTGTTTGTTGAACGTTTCACGTTTCATTTCAGGAACGAACTTTTGACGTATTTTTAACAATTGATAAGTTAAAAATGTTAAAGAAACAACGTTTTTATCGGTACCTTGAAGAACCATTTTTAACAGTCCTAGCTTTGACATTCAGTATAATTTCAGTTCACATAACTATTAACGTCAGCTGAAAGTCAGGTCGTTCCACGCCACATCTTCATACAAAAATACATTAACTTCAATTACCGACATAAAATACATTCCATGGCAGGACACGTAGTACAGTTTTTATTTTTTGACACCAAGAAGCGCGTATAAAACGAACACATGCCTAAATCCCACGTGCAAGGTGATATGAAATTTATAACTTGAAAGCATCAAAACAAATGAATACAAGGACACAAATGTGTACAACATGTCCAAACAAACGGGTCATCATGAATGCCAAACACTAATCAATTAAAAAGGCAAGATTTAAGGACAAAAATAACAAAGGACCGCTTTAATATTCACCCAGAATGCTCAAAAACTAATCAGTTCGAGATTTTCATGCTCAAAGTAGCATCCATGAAAAGGATCTATCACTCCAAGTGTCACTATAAATTAGATATAAAGGAGTGGTATCGATATGAAGAATTGAATTCAACAATGTTTTTCTCTTAAACCAATCATTGAAAACATTCTGTAAAAAACATGGTATTTTATGTAATGTTGACTGATTGACAACAATTTAATGCCAAATACCTAGATATTCACCTTTGACCTTGAGATAACTGTGACCCATAAACATCAACCTTGACCACAGGTCACCTAATCATTTGTCGCCAAAGGTCACAGTAATTTCTAGGGTCATGAAATGCAAATAACTAAATTCTAACCTTTGACTTAGAATGGCATTGACCTCACGTCACCTAATCACGGGTCGCCAAGGGACGCAGCAGCCCCTAGGTCCTTAAACGCTAAATACCTAGATGACATTTGACCTTGACCCATAAACCTTGACCTCAGGTTACCTAGTCATTCGTCGCTAAGGATCACAGCAGCCCCATGGACCTTAAATCACCAAATACCCAGATATTGACCTGTGAGCTTTGTCACCAAGGGTCATAAAAGCGCCAAAATGCATCAAATCGTCAAATACCAAGATATTGACATTTGACCTTGGAATGACATTGATCCATAACGTTAATCTTAACCTCAGGTCCCTAATCATAGGTCGTCAAGGTCATAGAACAGAGCAAGGGTCTAACCAAATACCTAGATATTGACTTTTTACCTTCGAATGACCTTTACCCCTGACTTTTTTAGAATGCCCACTGGCCTACTTAGTATGTCGCCCATCCTTGTCAGACCTATTTATTTAAAAAAGTATGGACATGCCTATCTTTTTCAACATTTAGAAAAGTAGATTAAGTTTAAAATTTCCATGAGAGGAGTCCCACTTATAGATTTTAAGATGTACTCCATTTCAAGATCAAATAATATGAATAGATAAATTATATTTAGTAAAGAGAGCAAGCAATACAAATTTTAAATCAAGGCAAAAATTGTAGCGTACGAAAATATTTTGAATATGAAAACTGTTCAGAAATTAAACGATGTATTTCTATGTAATTGTTATAAATGTTCATTCTTGTAATATAGTTTGACCTCAAAATGGCCGACAGGAAGTATTTATCGAATCAAAAAATTTCTACCGCATCTGTATGTACTCAAAAGTCATCGCTGAAAGTTTGAAGATTACATCTGTAGCGGTTTTGAAAACAACTGTCGGACAGACTGACTGACTAACACCTTGGATGGGGAAGAAACAGCCAACCCTTCTATCACACCAAACTAGTTCTCACAACGTTCTCGAAAACGGGCCTCAACTGTGTACGAACGGACTGGATGTACTTAAAACCGTTTGGGGTCTATTTTTTTTATTTTTTAAACTTCATCGAACGTACTTGAACGGGTAGGTCCTCTAGAACTTAGAACATGCTCAAAATTCTATCGTTGTGGTCACGTTCTACAATTAGACGAGCTGGACGTACTACGAACGGAACCGCGTCGTACTTCAATCCTACTAAGGACGTTTTTACAACGAGTTGAACTGTCTGAGGGCGTATTGAGAACGAGGTAGAACTTATTGCAAACGGGTTTAAAGTAACTGATAAAGGACGGATTAAAGACTCATGAACGAGTTAGCAAAAATATAGCTATCACACCAAACAAGTTGCCACTGCGTTCTTCAAACCTGGCTTTAAACTGTGTGCGAACGGAATGAACATAGCTGCAAGTTTCTAAGGACTATTTACTTCATGAACGTTCTCAGACGGGAAAGTGATTTTAGAATTTTGAAATGATTCAAAATTCGATGGCGACCATACCGTTCTGTAATCAGGTCATGATGACCTTCTAGACTAAGGGACGCGTTATACGACGAAGAAGCTAATTATTTTAGACATATTTCCCGACCACAGCCAGATTGAGCCCGTTTTACGACGTTTTCGTAGGACTGGCAAGAACGGGTAAGAACTAGTTTGGTCTGATAGGGGGAACGAAAAAGAGCTTCGTACTTCAATCCAACGTATTACGACGTTGTGTAGTCAGGTGCAAATTGCGAACGTGAGTGAATACGGAAAACATCGCACTGAGTTTTGATTACCGCAATCAGTAAAATAGAGGATTATAAATGAATGAATTAACAAAAATAGCTATCACACCCAAACCAGTTGTCACTGCGTTCTTCAAAACGTTGCCGAATTGGTTTAAAACTGTTTGCGAACTGAATGAACGTAGCTACAACGTTCTACGGTCTGTTTAAGAACTTCATGAACGCCCAGACGGGGAATGTGATTTAGAATTTTGAATCGATTAAAAATTCGATGGTGACCATACCGTTTTGTAATTAGATCGTGTGAGAACGTACTTCAAACGAGATGACCTACTAGGTAATTGCCGTACTTCGACACTAGGGACGAGTTTACGACGTTGTGCAACAGGATATCAATTTGCAGTGCGTGTGCATGCCGACATGGTGCGGCCTGAACGAACTGGAAATCTGAGACCAAACTGAGATCAAGTATTGGAGACTGTTTATGAACAAAGTGGCTAATAAGTTTTCACGACCACAGCCAGACTTATAGCCCGTTTTACGGCTTTTTCGTAGGACCGGAAAGAACGGCTGAGAACTAGTTTGCTGTTATAGGGGGGTTATATGAGAAATATTTAAAGGGTTAAATAGGTTTTAAGCAATTCCACGCTTAAACATTTTATCTCTCTTATCTCTTATATCCCCACTGTAGTTATTCCGATGCTTTTATGAAAAAATCCTTGAGGTTAAAAACTTCTCTCTGGAATAGATGTCGCGGCAAACATCATCCCAGTTACCTTCCCTTAAGCGTTGGAAGATATCCTTGAACTCTGGCGCCCCCGCATGGTATATGAACAAATTATCATATAAGTCGGGTTTAGTTCAAATATCAAAGCATTACGTCAATTTTAGTAGTTTAATTCGATGAAAACTAAAAAATATCGAAATCGACACTTCCCGTCCGCCATCTTTGATGCGACGGTGACGGCCGTTACCTTCGCTTGATAGCAGTGGCATTGGTGCATCAAGAAACCGTTAAAATCAATTTATGTGCACGTTTTAATCAGCACTGATTGCCAAGTTGTCTTATGGAGTTCAGTTTATTTATAGATGTCATTTCAAATGCAACAGTATAATTTACAAAGAGGAGGGAAAAC